GGGGGGGGGGGGGGGGGGGGGGGAGTGTTGATGGTGGCGGGGAAGAATAAGACGGTACCTTGAGCGTAAGACTTTATCGTTTCCATTGCCAATCTTCGGTCATTACTCCAACGCGTTTCCGCAGAACCAGTTGTGGAAGCTCTGGATTCTGAATCTTCATCATTTGGCTACCAGCCATGCCATAGATACATCTCATTTACTGCATCTACCAGGAATATTGCTGTAGAGAAACAAACTCGGTAAGAAACTGGCTTTCCTTCACCCTATCAGATTTTCTGGCAGAGACCTGCCCAAGGGGAATGGGCAACAACGGGGCTTCTAGCTACAGGTCCCACGCAAGACACCTTCCCCTTCATAACTAGAAGTTAGCGTACAAAGGACTTCTTGATGACACCATAACACTTTCAAGAGAAATACATTCAGTCCAAGACCAAGCTACGGCACATAATATGTTATACTAACTGTTAAATCTGTGGACGAAATATTATGGTGTTACCATTTATAGGAAACCTCGTCAGCAGTACTTTCTCATGGCACCTATTTATTTAGTATGTAGTTCTAACTTTTGTGTCTGTGGACGAAATCCTATAGTGCAACTATTTATTTCGTTGGATTTTACAAAAAGAGATTTTCTAGCTACTATTAGTAGCGAAAGGCCCGCTTAATGGTAACGCGATTCCCGAACGAAATCAACCAGTCCTAAGTTTTGCTTACCATTACCCAAATCCTTATCTGAGCGGTTTCTTCACGTAAATTGTGAACAACCAGCACATGCTCTATCAATATTGCGGACCTTTCTCAAGAGGATTCAAAATCCCGCGCCAAAAATGCCGTTACTCCTAAACATGTGCAGCGGGAAGTGAAAATCGAAACATTATCCATCCCACGTTATTCCAAAATGAGATGCAAGTCGTCAATCGTGCAAATTGCAAAAATGGAACGATAGAGTAACTTTCGCTTAGCAATTCTTAATTATTATTAAATAATTATGTTGTATTAGAAATGATTACTTTCATTTTGTACGCGTAATATTGTATGTTTTCCATTTTTCTCTCCCCT